CCCAACCAGATGTAGTTCTGCGAGAGGTTGGTCAAAACCTGACAAAACCCTAACCCCCAGGTACCTACTATATAGGGTACTAGAGCCCCTGGGGCCCTATATGGTAGGTACCTGGGGGGCTAGGGAAAATTCCTTGCCTGCGGAGTCCGAGTAGTTGCGAGATCTCAACTCGCGAGGTTCCTGCAGCAGGGAGAGGAAGATGCCGACGAGGTCCCCTACATTCCGCGACGGCTGAGGGTTCAGGCTTGAAGAGGTTGGTGTTTAGTGCTGGAAAATTTCTAGCATTTAGGGTCGGGAAGTCATGCTCTAACGGATTCGCAGTTTCCTTTTGACCTCTGTCCGGCGGTGAGGCAGTCGCCGACGGCGAGAAAGGGAGAGCTACAGACAGACAACAAGAGATAGAGACGGCCTTACTGTAGTACGACGCCCTTAACCCTGTGTAGCAAAAACATCTTTCACAAGCCGCACAAACCAACACCCAAGAAGTTTTTGGCGTATCTCTCTCTGTTGCCTGTGAGCTTTGAGAAGCCCGTTGGAAGCTGAGCAACCTCCTATCTGTTGCTCAGGATCAGGTCCGTTTGTTCGTGTTCCTCCGCAGCGCCCGGAGCCTTACAAGATCGGGAGTTTCCGAAAATCTAACGGCTTAAGCCAATAATCGCAGGTCTAAGCCTGTAACCTTTCATGTGCAAGCTGTGCTTTCAGGCCTTGTGCTGTTTTGGGTTTCCTGTGTCCTGCCTTTCTTCGCCGTTGTGGTGGTGTGATTTCGATAAGTCGCGAGTCGTGCCCGATGTTCGGCTGAATCTGGCAAGTAGACTGTCCCGAAAACCTAACCTCCAAACCTTAGAAGCCTGTTAATTCATGGTCGCCAGGGACCCCCCCTACAATTTAGTTTTCAGGACTATAGGAATACGCCTTTTAACTCATATCAGGAATCCCCTTCTATGTTAAGGACCGGTCAGCCATAGTACCGGAGTATCTCGTGGCGAGATCACGGCACACAAAAGCTTTCACATAAGGTCCCAAAGCCTTCAGCAGCTCGGGCTTCGGGCCCCTGTGCGGGTTGGTTGGGGTTGAGGAGTTACACAGCCTCAGCCCAAAGCCTCGTTGAACCCAAGACTCCTGCATGCTATGTGCATAGTGCACGCGAGTGTGCTGCAGTATATAGCATGGGTTGATGCTGCAAGATGGGGTCTATGCTTGTTGAACTGCCAGCAACGGACTCTTAGAGTGTACACTATATCCTATCGTTTGTTGGTGTTGTTGTATGCGAGCTATTGGTGCCATCAGTCTATATAGAGTGCACACCATGTCATGATACTGCACATTTTGTGCTGCATGTTGCGAGCGTGTAAGTGTGCATGTGTGGTATGTGTTTTTCGTTGTGTGTTACGTATCATACACCAGCTGGATTATAAGGTTTACTGAATACTGTAAGTGCTGGTTATGTTTTATGTCAGCCCACACCACATGTACATACAGAAACACTGGCACGTAAGTCAGACAGCTCAGCCGTAATGTCCTGGCTGTTTCCGGTTTATTTCTGAAGCTCGTGCCATCTTTACAACTTGCTGGTACACGTCTCCATGTGATCACGATGGACACACGTGCGCATGTGCACACAAAAGTTAGCAAGATACTTGGGCATGTAGGTAGGTCTGTCACCAGCCAGAAGTATAGACACATGCCGCATGTTTCGGCATTTTCCTTTGCGTTGAGTCAGTAGTAAGGGTTTAGGGTTTAAGCAGCCTCCGAATTCATGCGCTGTCGCGAGTGCAGCGTGGAGCGAGACAGCTGTCCTGGCGTGACGTTGCAAGCCAGTTGCAAAAGGGAACCCTAAACCCTAAGCCCTAAACCCAGTGGGGACCAACACTTTGACTTCCGCCACCGGGGGCCATTTTTTGCGCTTACAGCAGCGACACAAGCGCTTTGCAGCCGAAGCCTTCCTGTGCGCTGAACGAAGCCTGGTTTGCGAAGGCGCTGTTTGAGGGTTCAGCAAGATTCAGGGTTGTGGGGTAATATAGGGGCCTTATTCATTACCTATATGATTCCTTTGGGTTTCTTATTCGAAGTATACTATACAGGACCCCAAAACCCTATTTTAGTTTTTAAGGCCCCTACATTATCGTTCAGTCCGGTAGAGAGTTCGGCGGCCTAAAAGGCTTGTTAAGATGAGCTCGCCGTCCCGCATATATGCATCTGGCAGGGGCAGCATGAAGAAGACCGACGATCTCGATATCGACGAGGCGTCTCCCTCTGCGATGTTGCAATCAGTACGATTTGTGTTTGTTATTGCTAGTAACCGCTGGTATGTTGCTTACCATGTTGGACAAGAGACCATATGTATGACAACGACGTCTCCAAATCCTCGTGGGTGTTGATTGCAGTGCGTGCTGTGTAAACACACAAGATAACGAACCGATACTCATGCACGTGCAAGCATGCATGCATGCATACCTATATACATCCACCCACCTCCCTCCCCTCCCTCGTTTCCTCCGTCTCTCCCTCCCCGCCTTCCCCACCCTCCCCGCCCTCCCTCCCTCCCTCCCTCCCTCCCTCCCTCCCTCCCTGCATGCATGCATGCATGCATGCATGCATGCATGCGTGTGACCTTCTCTCGCTTTCTGTC